GTCTGAGCCGACAGTCCAGGGGCGCTTCTCCCGGAGCCAGGTCTGGGGCCGCTGCCTCTCCANAGCGCCCGTCCTGCCGTCTGAGCGGACAGTCCAGGGGCGCTTCTGCCGGAGCCAGGTCTGGGGCCGCCGCCTCTCCGAGGTTGGGGGGGTGGCGCTGCAAAGAGAACCTCTGCAGTGACATGGGAATGGCTGTCTCCAGCCCTGCTCTTCCCTAGTGCCAGGTGCCAGCCTGGGGGACGTCCATCCTATAGGGTACTTGGCGGCATTTAGCGTTGTGACCGGTGACACATGAGAGTCAGAGTCCATGAGAGGGAGCCAGGGTGTGAGAGTCTTGTGGTGCTTTCCCCGTGGACAAACCCGCGGCAGGCCACGCTCCCTGACCTTGTGCTCCTGAGGAGGGTGACGGGCCCACTATTCTGGGTCCCTGAAGAAAGTCTGTGTGGTGGGAGCCTTGGAGCAGGAACTCTGTCCAGCCTCTGAATTCACCTTAGCGAAGTCACCTTAGTCTATTAATTTTTTAAAAACAGATTAATTTTTTTAAATCAGATCAGGAGATTGGTTCATCAGTGACCACAGTGATAAGACACTGGAGAAACTGGCTGGTTGAGGTCAGGCAGCACATATGACAGATACCCCAGGGGGGAAATGAAGATGGTGGGACACAGCCCCGGCCTTCAGCGTCCGGCATTAGGGTAAGGCATTGCACACACACGCACTCACACACTCGCACACACTGTCATCAGTGTGTAGCTGGGCCTGCTGTCCATCCTGCACATTTTTGGGGGGTTTGAAGTTCAGAACATCAATGCGACGATGGGTTTCCCTAGATGGGGGGGCGCTTCTCATCTCTCTGGTGCCTCCTGAGTCAGGCGCGTGGTTGGCTTTTCCTTACTCGCAGTTGCTTTGCTCTGGTTGCCAGGAGCTCCTCACTGTGTCTTTCTCGCTCCCCAGATGCCTCCTCCCTGCACACAGCACAGTCCTGCACACGCCGGGGCTCAGTGCATTGTGCATCTGAGTGGCCACAAGAGGAGAGCGGTATTGTCTTCGAAATTTTCCGTGGCATCTTCCAGGGGAGGCCGAGACGGGCACAGCTCAGAGCCCCTGCACCCAGCAGGCCAGCCGCCGTGAGCAGGCCACAGCCACCTGCTGCTCTTGGACACAGGAGCGTCACCCTCCAGCCCCTCCCCGCCCACGGAAGCCTGGGGGCCACGAACCGCGTCATCTCTGTGCTTTAATCTAAGTAACTGGCCTGCAGTGGCCAGTGTGAACATTCTGGGGGGAATCGATAGCCTCCTAGGCCTCAGCTTGAACCATCTCTCGCCACTTGCGTGGGGAGTGAGCGGCTTTTCTTCTGCCTCCCAGCCTCGCTCTGAGAGTCAAACAAACGCATCTCTCTCTCCTGCGTGGAAAAGCCAGGCCGCGTCACCTATCAGACGCATCCTCCGTTTCCTCCTTTAAAGAAGTAGTTGGTGTTTGTTGCAGAAGGAAAGAAGAAAGCACTTTAATTAATACTAACAAGTGCAAGGGGATTAGTGCCCAAATCCCCTATTACCGCTTTTCCTAATCCCGCTCTAATTGTGCGCGCAGCTCTCGGCGAAGCTCTTAAACCCCACGAAGCAGCGAGGGCGCCGGAGGGGTGCCCACTGGGTGTCCCAGAGGTGCCCTGTGCCCAGCCCCGCCTTCCCAGGAGGGGCCGGCCCGCAGCGCCCCCGGAGCCTGCCTCCTGCGCGGGGGACCTTACAGAAAGAGCCGAGATCGGGCGGAAGCCAAGGCTCGCTGGCCCCAGCAGAAATGTCCGCAAGTTCTGAGTTGTCATCAGAGTGGCAGCTAGGAGTTTGCCAGCATGTGCGTGTAGGCGGAGCAGACTCGACTCAGATCATCACAGCCAGCAAATTCTAAATCCCTCAGCACTTAGTTGGAAGAGAGCGAGAGGGCTCAGGAGGTCTGTTTTGACCCCCGCCCCGCACACACGCGGATGCCTGTGACGGGGACGCCGCCTGTAAACTCATTAATTCTCTCCGTTCTGACGGCTCAGAGGCGCCCTGCGGACCTGCGCAGCCCTGAGGCGACGGCCGCCCCCTAAAGACCGGCTCCCGCGCCGCGCGCCAAGTGAAAGGATTTGCCAAAAACGGAGCCTAATCGCGGGCCTGGTAAAGGAAGACGCGGGAGATGTGTGCCATCGAGGGGACCGCTGGCAGGGGCGGGAGCCGCACAGGGATGCTTAAATCACAACCTGCTCGGTGGCGTAGCTGGGGGACAGGGTGGGTTTTGTCTAAATACCTGCTTCCAGAGGATTTGGCGTTGAAAGGTGTTAATTCCCGTGCAGTCAGATTATAGGTTGTTCAAGAAAGACGTTGAGAGGATGTCTCCTGTTCTTTTTTCTCCCTTCCAAGAAAAGCACATCCGATGTAATTACTCGGTTCCTAGCCCACTGACGGGGGCCGGGCCCGCTGCTGCAGAGTGGGCCGGAGCAGGTGGGGGGCACCGTCCTGTGTGTGGGGCCTGCACCGGAGGCCGGTGCCCTTGGCTGGAAGTGAACCCGAGACTTCAGTCTGCGGGCCGACGCTCTAACCAAGCCAACCAGGGCTGTGCAGCTTTCTTTATGATGTGTTTGTTGAAGCCATTTGCTCATTTCTTAAAATTGAGCTGTATTCTTGAGTTAGAAAATTCTTTGCATAATATGAATACAAGTCTTTTGCCAGACATATGTAATGCAGATATTTCCCCCCAGATGGTGTCTTTCAAAGGGCAGGAGTTTTAATGTTGATGAAGTTCAATTATCAATTTTTTAAAATATACTCAGTAGTTTGGAAGTTCTAAGAAATCTTTGCTACTCCAAGGCACAAACGTTTTCTCTCTGTAAGTTTTATAGCTTTAGCTTTTACATTCAAGTCTATGGTCCATTTCAAATGAACTTTTGTGTCTGGTGCGAGGTTAGGGTGGAAGTGCGCTTTTTTTTAATGATGGAGTCCAGTGAGCTAGAGGACGCCCAGCACCCAAGGTTAGAAGCCACGCTGGGCTGTGTGTCACGGAAAGGGCCACACGAGCAAGGTCTGGGGGGTCCTGGATCCACCCCCCATTCAACCACGCCCCTCCACTTTTCATGGGTCTTTTTCACAAGGTTTCATTTGAACGAAGGGTTCATGCTAGAGTTCCAGCTAATCCGTAAATTACAGGATGGGGAACCTGGGGCCCGGGAAGGCTGTGCCAGGACTGGAGCTGGCGGCCAGGTCTCCTCCCACCTGCAGGGCACCCTCCCGGGCCCCGCCTCCACACTGCCTCTGCCGGGAGCTGCTGGAGGTGCCACACAATCCCTCATTTGCCGTTTGCCTTTTCAGCATTTTAAACACGGGAAACAGGCAACCGTAAAGTTGAATAATTTAGGCCTCCTTTCTCTGGTGCTGTCACTCGCAGGGGAGAGAGGACGGGTGGTCTGGAGGGTGGCAGGCGTCCAGAGGCTGCGTGGGGGCCTTTGAATCTCTGTAGGAGCCCACCTATCAATCACCGGGGCGCGGAGGGCAGCTTTGGGGCATCGATTAGGACTTTTCCCCACCTCCTGAAACGCGGCCTGACGGTCTAATGATCCCCTTGGGTTTCCAAAGACTCCGCATTCTTGCAACCTCACTAATAGCCATGAGCGCAGGTGGAAACGCGGCGAGGGCTGGACTCCGTGGTTCAAGGACAGGCCAGAGGATCCCGGAGTCCTGAATGAGGGCTCTCCGACGGCAGGGCGAGCAGGAGCGCGTTCTCTGTGCCACCCGCCCTGGTCCCGGGCGTCTCCCTCCCACCGTGGCCCAGCTCGTCGGTGACGGCTCCCCGCTTCTCACCGAGTCGGGGACAGTGGGTCACCTTCTTCCCGAGCCCTTTGGCGCTGTCCCAGCCGCTTGGTCACACGCCGCTCCCGGTCCCTCCTGTCTTCCCGGACGGCTCCTTCCCCTTCCCGGGCCCTGCCTCTCGGCTCCGCAAATGCTCTCTTTTGCTCAATTAAAGCAAGGCTGCGGCTCTGGCCTGCTTGCCCAGTGGTTAGAGCATCGGCCCACAGACTGAAGGGTCGCGGGTTGAGTTCCAGCCAAGGGCATGTACCTCGGCTGCAGGCTCCATCCCTGGCCCCAGTGGGGCCCATGCGGGAGGCAGCCAATTGATGCGTCTCTCTCACATCGGTGTTTCTCTCCCTCCCTCCCTCGCTTCCACTCTCTCTGAAAAGCAATGGAAAAAATACTCTCAGGTGAGCACTGAAAAAAAATAAAAGCAAAGGCTGCCGCTGCTGAGAGATGCAAAGGGCACTGGTTTCAAGACGGCGCCCTCATCCCTGACCTTGAACAGGGGCCCCGTGGCCCTTGCTCGTCGCATCCGGATGTGGGTCTCGGCAGGCGTTCCCACACTGTGAACTTCAGAGCAGCAGAGCCATTCCTGGAATAATTAAGGCTGAATGGGAGAAAGTATTTTCTGAAGGCAAAGATACGGAATCAGGACGTGAAACAACTTGAACTTTGAATCTACCGTTTGCGTTTTGAAAGGCTGGGGGGGAATTAGTCACCTCTGCTCTTCGAACAGAGGTAACGTCCCTGCTCAGGAGTCTCCCGCGACTCCCTGCAGCTGTGGCTCCCACCCGAGCAGCACCAGGACCACCGGAGGGCTTGCCCCTGGGGTGGCTGGCCTCGCGCAGAGCTGCGTGGTTCTCGCTCCAGGGTGAGAAGGTCCCCTGAGAAGCTGCATTTCTACCTAGTTCCTGGGTTATGCTGCTGAAGCTGGTGCTGTGGTCGGGACCCCACTTGGAGAACCACCACTTTCCGGCATAAGGTCCAAGGTGTTTAATCTGGCACTGATATGCCTTTGCAACTTTTAACTTCTTTACTTTGGCCAAATAGGACGCTCTCTCTTCTTTGTATTTCCCAGCACCAGCTGACTGACCGCTTCTCCCTCCCTCCCTTCCTCCCTCCCTCCCTGCCTCCCTCCCTTTTCTCCCTGCTTTCCGCCTTCACTAGCCTAGCCCTGACCAGTTGGAGAACAGTATCCCCGCGGGAATCCTGTGTCCAGCCTGGGCCCCCTCGGACAATCCTCCACGCTGCTGGGACACACGCATCTCCCAGACAGAAGCCCGATGCTGTGTCTCCTCTGCGTGGACTCCTCCAGGGGCTCTGCCTTGGCCACAGCCAGCGTCCCCAGCCCGGGGTGGGGGCGTGCGTACCTGTAGGGGAAGGCAGGGCTTGTTAGTCCCACCAGGGAACTCCCAAATCACACACAGACGTCACCCAGCGTCTCCCAGGGATTGAGGCAAACGGCCGTGAGAACTGTGAAAAATTCTTTAAAAAGTAATAACATTCTCAAATTTCAGAATAAAGTAAAACTCTGAAATTCTAAAGAGTAATACGATTTTTGACCCCCACTACCAGGTTCCAGGGGCGTCAGCTACTCTCAGGTCAGCCGGGTTCTGAGAGGGGACAGCAGGGATCCCTTGTGCCGTTAGCACCACGAAGGGAGCACAGCAGGGCAAATGATGGTTGTCTCCTGCAGATGGACAGCCCAGGCCGGCTCCCCTAGATATTCCTCACGCAGCACCAATGGGACCCACCCGGGGCCCACCTACCGGATGGAGTCGGTCACCAGGTGCTGGACAGGCCTACAGGTGGCTGTGGCTGTTGGGATTCTTCCTTCCCGGTTAGAGAACCAACTCTCTATCCAGGTTAGCTCGCCACCTCCGCTAACCTGCTGGGCTCGGGGGAGATGGGCAGCTGGACTCTTTCCTGAGAATGTGCGCTCGGTGGGCCCTGAATGCCGAGCGCAGGAGCTGCGGCCGGCTGTGCCAAACCTGGACACAGAGGCAGCCTGAGGCACCTGTCCCCCCAGTGCTGAGGCTCTCACGGGGCACGAATCCTTCCAGTCGCCGAGAGAGACTGCCCACCGGGCCAGCGGACATCGGAGCAGAATAATGCCCAGAAATGATTACATAAAGAACAGGACTGATAACGCTCACCCTCATAAATATGAAACAGGACGAAGTGTGGGAATATAAATGCAGCGCCTTTAGGCCTGAAATATAAAGTGGGATAAAGGATTTTTTAGACAACCTAGGATCTGTTTTCGATATAACATCTCAAATAGAGGGAGATGACTTTCGAGGATGAGCGATTTTCCAGCTCTTTGCATGAGAATTCGTAATCATTTTTCCTCTCTAAATGTTTCAGAGATAAAGGAAAATTACTTTGAGATTAATGTGCAGCTCTTGAGTTTGACTGAAGAACATTCCTTAAGCTAAATCACTTGTGTGCACCCACACACTCACACTCACATTCGCACACACACACGTTTCCTGCACTTTGGTTTGGCAAAGTGGTCTGTTCTGCCACTTTTAACAAAATCACAGATATTGAGCAGTTCTCTCTAGGGGTGATTTTGCCCCGCAAGGGTCATGTGGCCGTGATGTCTGGAGACATGTTTGGTTTTTACATCTGGGGAAAGGGGTCCACTGGCGTCTCGTGGGTAGTGGCCAGGATGCTGCCAGACATCCTACAATGCCCGGGGCAGATCCCACACTGAGGAGTCTCCAGCCCCAAATATCAGAAGTGTCAGCCAAGGAAGAGAAACCCTCCTGTGGCATGACTTTGAGTCCACTGTGCCTGCTACAAGCAGAAGTTGGCACCACAGCTGCCGACCTCAGAATCACGTGGTCCTCGGTCACTGCGGTGTGGCCCCCATGCCCTAGCAAGAGGGACCCAGAAGGCTCCTTCTGTAGCTGCTCCTCGAACCGAAGTCCAGCTGGGGTGCGCCTGATTGGTGGCCTCCGAGCCATGTCTGAGCCCGAGCAGCAAACCGTGCTGGGAAGTGTAGTTTTGTTTGTTCCTTTTTGTCTTAAGGTTCTATGCTCCGAGTGTGGGATTCGCATCGCAGGGAATTTCCAAAATACAGGGCAGGTGTTCCTCACATTTTTCGCGGCCACGTGTGACGGCTGCTCACAGGGCACGGTCAACACGGGCAGAGGCGAGCTGCTGTCCGTCTTAGCCGCTGGCGTCAGCTGCAGGCCTGTGAAGAGAATGACAGGCTGAGAAAGGACAGAAGGCGAGGTCTGCCCCCTAAGGAGGGAGGGGAGAGGACACCTGACTGACAGGACAGAGCCCAGGGCCGTCCTCAGGCCGCTCAGTGCAGAGGGAGGCTCTGTGGCCGGATGGGCCACATGGCGCCACGCCCCCGGGCAGACCCCTGGCCGCCCCGTCCTGGCAGCCCCGGCTCACGGGTGTGCGCCCGGGGGAATGGCCGTGGTCCAGCTGCTCGGCCCGTGCACACGGCTGGTCGGGTGAACTCCAGGCTTGAACTCTCACTATAATTGGCTTTTCCTGTCCAGTTCCTTGGAGTTCTTCAGAACAATGCCCAGCGCGAGCACCCCTCGGTCCCTTTGCCGGAGGGGCTGAGCGCGGCCGAGGAGGGAGAGAGCGGACCTAGTGCGGCCGGGCCAGGCAACGGTGGACGTCGCGCGTGTTCCCAGGGCCTTCGCTCTGCGGGGCACTGGTCTGAGCGGGTTACCTCCCAGCCCCGCAGTGAGCGAGCTGGCCGGCTGGCCCCTGTAGTCCTGCCATGTGAATGTACATTAGCTGCTCCTGAAACAGCCACCGAGGTCAATCACGACCGTCAGGAAAGCAGGGTGGGGACTGGGAGCAGACCCCCCTGTGGCTAGTCCCCTCGGCGGGGCAGAGGGAGAATGCGGGGGTGGCAGGGGAGGGCAGGATCAGGCCCGCGGCTTGTCTTCCTGGTCTCTTCCTTTTTCGTTTTTCATTGTGGTGAGAAAAACCAACTCGAATTACCCTTTGAAGAAATAGATTTATTAGAAAAGAGACAGGTCTTGTAGCTTCCAAAGAGGAGTTGAGAATGCAGGTCTCAGGAAGAGAGCCAGGCCCCCAGGCCCCCAGCAGTAAGAAGTCAGGGGGGTCCTGGCTTGCCCTCAGGTGTTCACCATTTTTTGATGGTTAATCTTCACCCAAGGATATTTTTTCCATTGCTTTTCAGAGAGAGGAGGAGGGGAGGGAGGGGGGAGAGAGAGAGGCATCGATTGGTTGCCTCCTGCATGTGCCCAACAAGGCTGAGGAATCAAACCTGCAACTCAGGTACATGCCCTTGATTGAGAATTGAACCCCAGACCCTTTGGTGCGCGGGCTGAGGTTCTAACCACTGGACGCCCCGGCCAGGGCTCAGGTGTTCGCCTTTAACGCAGCTCCCTCCCACTCTTCTCCTTGTAGCTCCTCGAGCAGAGCCTGGGTGCCGGCCAGCACCCAGGTGACGTCCCACTGCTCAGGTGCCTGCCCTTAGGAAACTGGCTGCGGCGGGCGAGGCATTTGACGCAGCACCGGGACGCGCAGCTCACGCTTGAGGGCGGGGATCGCTCTCAGGCAGATGGTGAGCCGGGGAACCAGGCTCCTGGGTGTGTGTCTCCTCAGCTTCATATAAGAGATTTGTGGCCTTGAACACGCTGTTTAACCAGGGGGCTTCCCAGTCATAAACTGGAGCTAATAACAACCTTGCCCGGGGTGTTGTCCCCAGGACAACTGGGGGTTAATATACTGGGACACCCAGCCACTGACCGCCACGTCCGTCTGGGAACACTGGGACTTCAGGCATGAGCCCTGCGACCCGGCCTGCCCTGTGCGCGCTCGGTAAGACCAGCTCTTTTTCCATTACTCCACCAGCGTATGTTTGTATGTGAAATATTTTGTGATGAAGCGAAGGTAGATCTCAACAAGAGATTGCTCCTGAAACCGCGTGCTGTTTTCTTTCCTCTAATAATACACATGCAAAACATTTTCGAGTTTCAAACGGTCTTTGACTTGAAAGGAGTTCAGTGACAGTTGCTTAGTGTAGAATTGTATCAGGAAACACAGATTTGCGAGACCCCTTCCGAGTGAAATCTCGCCGAAGCACCTGTGCGCAGGCAGGTGCTTAGTCTGACCCGGAGCCCTGCTTCCTCCGAGGGAGGGCCGGTGGGTGTGCTCGGGCCCCCTGGGCAGCTGGCCCTGAACGCCCGCTTGCCAGGGCAGAACTGATTATTAAAAACCTTTGAAGGAGCTACGCGCAGAAGTGCACGTCTCCCTGTGCGGACAGGGTTGGGTGCCCGGGAGCAGGCAGGGAACCGGCAGGGCTTGCTGAGCGGAGCTGCACCTCTGGGTGGGGAGTGCTGTCCCTGAGACTTCTGTGCAGGGGAGAGGGGCTCATGGGTGAGAGTTCAATGCAGGTGCACAGTAGGACTACCGACAGCCCTGGTGTGCTCAGGGGCCCGCAAAAGGTGCAGAGTAAATGTGGGTGGTACGGGGCTATTTCTAGGGCTGAGGGGGTGAGAACAGAGGCCAGCTGGGGGTGGTCCCCAGCACGGCCCTCCTCTGAGGGTCACAGGTTCCATGAGCTCGTCTCTGGGAGCACAGGGCCCCGACCACCTGAACTGTGACCGTGTCTTGGTGTTTCTTGGGGTTTGGCAGCCAGAGGCCTGAGGTCTTGAGTGTTTTACATCTGGTGTCCTAGGTCCCTAGCCACCCCACCCTGGAGTTGATCCTTTCAGGTTGCTGGTAGTGAACCCNCTCGCCGAAGCACCTGTGCGCAGGCAGGTGCTTAGTCTGACCCGGAGCCCTGCTTCCTCCGAGGGAGGGCCGGTGGGTGTGCTCGGGCCCCCTGGGCAGCTGGCCCTGAACGCCCGCTTGCCAGGGCAGAACTGATTATTAAAAACCTTTGAAGGAGCTACGCGCAGAAGTGCACGTCTCCCTGTGCGGACAGGGTTGGGTGCCCGGGAGCAGGCAGGGAACCGGCAGGGCTTGCTGAGCGGAGCTGCACCTCTGGGTGGGGAGTGCTGTCCCTGAGACTTCTGTGCAGGGGAGAGGGGCTCATGGGTGAGAGTTCAATGCAGGTGCACAGTAGGACTACGGATGNGTGCACAGTAGGACTACCGACAGCCCTGGTGTGCTCAGGGGCCCGCAAAAGGTGCAGAGTAAATGTGGGTGGTACGGGGCTATTTCTAGGGCTGAGGGGGTGAGAACAGAGGCCAGCTGGGGGTGGTCCCCAGCACGGCCCTCCTCTGAGGGTCACAGGTTCCATGAGCTCGTCTCTGGGAGCACAGGGCCCCGACCACCTGAACTGTGACCGTGTCTTGGTGTTTCTTGGGGTTTGGCAGCCAGAGGCCTGAGGTCTTGAGTGTTTTACATCTGGTGTCCTAGGTCCCTAGCCACCCCACCCTGGAGTTGATCCTTTCAGGTTGCTGGTAGTGAACCCTTGGGTGCTGTGTGGTGGGTCCAGGGTCAGCCCTGGGGCAGGGCCATCTTCCCATGTTCCCCCTCCACCCCAGGAGGCTGGGCTTCTCCTTTTCAGGCAGGAATATGGGTGTTTGATGTGTGTCCTTTGACTGGAGTGCTGGTGATGGGAGGTGAGAACTCATTGATTATTCATGCCTGTGTTCCACTGGCCTCTTCCCAGGGTGCAGGGACACCCTGAGGACAAGCAGCAGGTGACAGAGTCTGCAGCCAGAGCAGCCTGGCCTCCTGGTTCCAGAGTGGGCTGGTCTCCGGCTACTCAGGCCACCGGGCTCCAGGCCAGCTCTCCTGAGAGAGAGTCACCTTGGGGGGTTGAACCTGCCCCTCAGCTTGCATGAGGTCCTGGGAGCCCCTGTGGGGTGAACACCGAGGATTCCTGTCTTGGAAAAGTGATCTCACACACACACCCCACCCCCCTACCCCCTGCAAGAAATCTCAATGTTCCCAGAAGGCCATTGCCGGGAGGTCGCTGGGTGCACTGGGCTCCCCGCTGTCCCCCNCCACCCCCCTACCCCTGCAAGAAATCTCAATGTTCCCAGAAGGCCATTGCCGGGAGGTCGCTGGGTGCACTGGGCTCCCCGCTGTGTCCCCTTCTCCCACTTCTTTGAAGGGGACTGGCGCCAAACCCTATGTTTATTTCCCTGGCAATGCCCCCAGGCGAGCGCATCGTTTTCAAGGGCGTCCACAAAGCTGTGGGCCAAGGCTGGGTTTGCCCGCAGGGCAGGGATGGCCATGGCCTTGGAGACCGCTGCCCTGGAGGCGCTGAGGCGATGCATGGCGAGGCGAATACGTTTTTGGGGTCTTGATAAAGATTCTATTGTGAGGCAAACACTTTTACCTCTTTTTCTTTTAAATGAGATCACTTTGGTCTGAAAGACATTAAGAGGTGGGAAGTGTGGGGGAGAGTGGGGTTGTGTCGCGTGTAAGGGAATGGAGGACACTCAGGGGTTTCCCCGGGGAGGTCAGAAGTGAGACCAGTAATATGGATTCGCTTCTCCAGGAGCTGTCNNNNGTTCGGTTTCTTATTTCTTTTCGGTAAAATACCTTCAGTGAGACTGAAGAAGTGATCCCCTTGAGAAGGCTTTTCCGACACCTGCAAGCCCTTCCCGGATCCCGGGGCCGGTCGCAGGAGCGTGGGTGCCTTGTCCCCGAGTTCTCAGGAGCTCCGTAAGAATCCTGCACAGTCTCTAAATTCTCCTAATTAAGTTTTCCAGTTAACTCCTTTTATTGCTTAGAAATCACTGAGCATCATATTATAGTAGCATGAAATAAAGCCGCGCTAACTGGGTCATAATCTATGAACTTCAAGGGGTCCGTTTAAATGCAGCCGATCCGGCCCAGCCGGGCGTGGCTCAGCGGTTGAGCATCGCCCTAGGATCCAGGCGATCAGGGTTCGATTCCCGGTCAGGGCACATGCCCGGGTTGCGGGCTGCTGCCGATCAATGACTCTCTCATCATTGATGTTTCTATCTCTCTCTCTCCCTCTCCTTTCCTCTCTCTGAAATCAATAAAGGTATATTAAAAAAATAAAATAATAATAATAAATGCATCTGATCCCTGCAGTTAGAGAACTAGCGGGCGACTGGGGAGAGGGAAGGGGAGCGGGAGGCCTGGGCCGCGTCCCTGGGCGCGTGTCCCTGCTGAAAATGGGCGTACCTCTCTGCTGATGGCCACAACCCTAGTGACGTCCCGGCCCTAAGGACTGGGGTCTGCAGGCACGCGGTGTGCTCTGCGGGGTGGGGCGGGGAGGCAGTGGAGC